AGGACTATAAGAGTATATAAAATAGGGATCTGATCTTGTCTGAGAAAGCATAGTTTATGTTGGAAGGTTTCCTAATAGATGTGACATTTGAGCTGATATCTGAAAGATGAGTAAGCAATTATCAGGAGAAACATGGCGGCAAATGTATCCTGAGCAGTATGAAGCATGTGCAAAGGCCCTGTGTCTCTTTTATGGTCATTGTAGCTGGAGTGTAGAGAGTGAGGGGAAGAGAAGTGAGAGATAAAAGCAAAAAGGAGGGCTGGGCTGAACTAGATCGAGCCTTGAGATTCATGGGGGCAGATTCAGGCCTTCATTTTAAGAGGCATAGGAAGCCACTAAATGATGCTAAATAGACAAGTGGCATGACCAGTTTTGTGTACTCAGAGGCCCCTTGTGGCTGCAAGTACAGAGGTGGGGGGATGAGAGGGCAGAAGGGAAAACCAGTCAAAAGATTTTTATTGTCTTTTTTTGTAAGTTCTGTAAACATCCCTTAGTGCATGTTTAGAGAAATTCTGTAGCAAACATAGGTTTGCCAATGTCTTGTAAACATTTCCTGTAACTCTTACGCTAGAATCTAAGGCAGAGATTGTAGCGTTCACATTCTAGGAATATTCATACTGTGCCCTTAGGCTTGAGAAGAGGACAGGCATTGGGCTTCCCCCCACCCCCCTACCCCACCCCAGGGTGGGTTAGGGATTGCGTTCTATACTTTTAATTTGCTTTTACATGCATGACAAGATTTTCTTCTTAAGATAAACCTATTGGGGTTGTGATTTTGCACTTAGCAAGTTAGAAAAATGACATTCACCTGTAATTCTAAGTCAGTTATTATGTTCTCGGGGTTTTGAAACCTTCTGTGGCACCTCCACGCATTTTCTGTTTACAAGAAAAGTTTAAGCATCTGTCATTCATTGTGGCTGAACCATTCCCTCCTCCCAAGAGAATCATTAAGTATGTCCCCAATAAGAGGCTAAACAGAAGAGTCACTCATCCAAAAAAAGGCATCATGGGGGACCTAAGAGAGACATCTGAGTGTCTCAGAGTTAGGCTGCGTGGCTAGAAACAGCTCCCAGGAAAGGCTGGAAGTAAAGACAGCTGGAGCAGGAGGTCGGGCAACATGGCATCTTCTGTAAGTTGGCGGTGGGTGGCAGGAGTGGCAGCTGAAATGGAGAACTGATTTCCCCCCCACCTTGGCCTGTGAGCCGCCTACTTCAGAAGGGGAGAGGTCTTCCCGCAGATGAGGTAGCCAGCAGCTCTCGGGCGTGTGAGGGGTACAGCACTTCCATCCAAGCCCATCCATTCTCATTCCTGGGAGATGCAGCGAGAACTTCAGGAGAGCAGTCTGTGGCGAGGAAGGAGCCAGGATGGAAAGGCAACCTGTGTGTTCTTGGTGCTGTAACGCTGCAGGTGCCCTAGCCAGATCCCTTTTCCTGGGCTAGGGCTCCAGTCCCCCAGATGCAGTGCCTCTTGACCCCTAACAGCTCACGGCTGCCCCTTTCTCTGAAGATTTGTCCTCAATTGAATGGCGGCTGCCTCACCTAGGAGTTAAGCTGGCCCTCGCCCCCGCCCCCGGGGGTCCAGAGCTAATGACTTTTTGTCACGGGGAACACAGAAGGCCAGTCCCCTTGCCTCAGGGTGCTATTTGGGCATCTTGAGTGTATAATTCCGTGGTGTTATTTATGCTCTGGAGCCTCACATGGCATCAGATTGAAGCTAGTCTCTAGCCAAGCCCGCGCTGTCTCTCCGTTCCCCCCTGCCCCGTCCTGTCTCCATCCTTCCCTTCCTCTTGAGAGCTCTTCCTCGATAAGTCACATACCTCCAAAACTCTGTCTCAGGCTTGACTTCTAGGGAATCCACCCTAAGATTGCAGCTTGGCAGTGACCAACCAGTTAGTAAAACTTTTTTTTAAAATTTTTATTGCAGTGTAGTTGATTTACAATGTTGTCTTAGTTTCAGGTGTACACACTTAAAAGGGCCATTAAGAGGTACTTGCCCCAAACTGACGCCATCCAATGAATAAGGACACCCGCTTAGGTTGGCTCAGGCACAGATGTTAAATCCCAATGCCTTGTACCCTGGGATGGCGATGTTAAGCCCCTCCAGACTCTAGCTCCACTAAAGATTTCCTTCAGAGCAGCGGGTCAGCAAACTACGGCCCGAGGGGCACATGTGGCCTGTAGCCCATTTTGCTATAACCCCCAGGCTAAGAAGGGTTTTATATTTTTTGATAGCTCAAAGAAAAAATCAAAAGGAGAATGATATTGGTGGCATGTGAACATCATATATAATTCAAATTGTAGTGTCCGTACGGTTTGATGGGCGCCCAGCCACGCCCATTTGTTTCCATGTTGTCTGTGGCTGTTTTCCCACGACAGCAACAGACTGGAGTAGTTGGAACAGAGACTGTGTGGCCTGCAGAGCCTGAAATAATTCCTCTCTGCCTTTCCAGAGGAAGTTCGCTGACTTGTGCTGTAGAGGAATTGAGGGGCTCGAGTCCTGATCTGTTTGAGTTCCCGCTGAGTAGCTAATTCCAGCTGTTTCAAGGTCTTTTTCTGGGCTACCAAGTCTGAGCTGAGCAGAACAGAAGGGAGTCGTTGTGTGTGTGGCCAGCGGGGGAGGGAGCCCTGAATCGGAGGTTAAAAACCCACAGTGAGGCTTCCCTGGTGGCGCAGTGGTCGAGAATCCGCCTGCCGATGCAGGGGACGCGGGTTCGCGCCCCGATCCGGGAAGATCCCACATGCCGCGGAGCGGCTGGGCCAGTGAGCCGTGGCCGCTGAGCCTGCCCGTCCGGAGCCTGTGCTCCGCAACGGGAGAGGCCACAACAGTGAGAGGCCCGCGTACCGCAAAAAACAAAAACAAACAAAAAAAAACCCCGAAAACCCGCAGTGAGAAAAAGGGGCATTGCAGCCTTGAAAGACCCACAGGCAGTTTTTGTCGCTAAGAGGCAGGAAGAGGCTGATTTGCAGCAGAAGGAACTTGGAGAGGCGGGGATAGACTGAGCCAGCCAGGAACTCAGAGAGCTACAATAAATGAAAGTCAGTAATTGCATTTCCATAGTGTCTAAGCCCCAGAGGCCCCATCGAAGCAGCCAAAATGGATTGAATTCCTGCTGGGAGCAAGGCTTGCTATTGATCATGCAGACCCATCTAGTGATCCTGCATTTTAGCAGGAATTATTACTCTCTAAGAAGTCCTTCCTAGAAGCAGGTCTCCGTCACTTTCCTGATGACTCGAGAAAGCATTCTAGGCAGGGTGAAGTCAGCAGGATGGACCCCTGCAGCACAAGCTACAGAGGGGAGTGGGCGTGAACGTGAGCGGGAGCTCATTCAAATTCAGCTCACATTCGTTTGATACGGAGCAAGGTTTTTGCATATATGTTACCAGCCATTCTGAGCCCCAATGTCTGGATAGAGAAACTAAGACTCCAGGCAGTTTTCACATGTTTTCAAGGATCACAGTGCTAGTAAGTGAAAGTAACAGAAAGTAGCAATGTTGGCAAACTAGACAGACATCAAGGGATGAGAAGGGGAAGAGGGAGGTGGTGGAGGAATTCCACTGCACGTAGGAACCCAGGTGGCCACACCTGGATCTGGGCCTTGAACTCTGTAGGTTGATGCCGGCTCCCAGAGTGGGCCTGGGACCAAGGGGTGAGCATATTAAGGAGATTGGAGATGATGAAAACAACTCAAGCTGTAATTCTGGGTGGAGGTAGAGTGTTCCCTAGAATGTATTGTATTTTCGCAAAAGGAAAGGCTGCACACACAGTGATTAAGAACATGGAGCCTGGAACCAAAATGCCCACCTAGTAGCTGTGTGAGCTTGGCAAAGTCACTTAACCTCTCTGTGCCTCAGCAAAATAGGGCCAACAATAGTACCTATTTCATAGGATTGCTCTGAAGATTAAAAGGGGTTAATATTTGTAAAGTATAAATATGCCTTTATTAAGTAAAGTAGATGATGGAGATCATTAGTTACATGCTTGTGAACATTGAATAACGAGTTCTCTAGGGAAAAAAATGTTTAAAAAGGTCTGATTTCTTGTGATGTAAATACTCCTACCGTGGCAGGTTTCAAGCTACTGATGTAGCGTCATTGAATGCAAAATTGGGAAGAGATAGGAGCAGTAGCCCCCCATTATATGGTATTTCTAACGTACAGATAGAATAGATGTGATGGATCTCAAGAGCATGATCATATAATGTACCAAATAATTAGAAAGTGATGAGTTTTGAGTATTACCTTTGTTTTTAAAATCATTTAATTGCAAGTTTAGGTAACTTAATTTCTAATATAGGCTATGTTTAACAATTCTCAATTCCTGACATTTTAACAGTTGACCCTCACAAGCAGGTATAAGGCAAATTCAGCATGTACTTAGTGGCACATAATTTGGAAACTCCAGTCTTCATGGCAGAGGAGAGATTTGCAGGACGAGTTGCTAGGTAGAAGAGTCAAACCCCTGTGCTTCAGTGGACATGAACAGTGGTTAAGATGTGGGAGTACAGGCGACTGCATCTATGAGGTGGACCTCTCCTGGTGGCAGCAGGAGCTGCTGCCGACTCAGCACTGTCAACTCCTGGAAGCCATCCCAGACCGCACATCTGCTCTTGCAGCTTCCCCTTGCAAGAGGGTGGATTTGTGGAAGCCTTTCTTTATTGTGGAACACAAAGGAGCCACACTGGATTATGTTGGCAGCACAGTTGAATACAATAAGGGCTTAGTTTGGGAATTTAGGTAGTGCTTTATCAACACTGGGATAATTCAAATGTATAATGATGGGGAAACAAAGCGTGTTGTCATCCCACCCATGTTTTCCCCTGCTTTCCTTATATTCTTCCTTGAGGGTCATCAGGATGCTGAATCATTGTCCAGGAGAGGATGGTACAGGATGTGTTGGAACTGTCCTTGAGAAAAAAGGTCAACCTCGGAATATAGTTGTAGATTTATTCTGAGAAGTCCTTTCTGCCTTCCCATTTCACACACATACAGCATTAGTAGATGTTCAGTAAATTGTTTTTTAATGAATGAACAAATAAATGAATGAAACAATTTGACTTAATCAAAGGTGGGTTTTTTCCCAAGAAAAAGAACTATCTAACTCTTGACATAAATATGGTTCTCAACACTGTAGTAGAATTACTGTTCATAACGTAGTCTTCCTTTTCCCCATCTCCACTAGAGGAATACATTTTCCTACTCCGTTGATGTTGTGTTCAGTCGTGTGACTTACTTTGGCCAATGAGATGTTAGCAAGCATGATGCAAGCAAAGTGTTCAGGCATACTTGGAAGTTGGGCATGCATGCTTGTGTCTGTGCTGTCCCCATGAGAAAAGCTTCTCCAGGGAAGTTGCTACCTCTTCAGCCTGGGCTGAAGGATGAGGCACATTGAGCAGAACAGAACCCAGCCCACAGCAAGGCAAGCCTGTGAAGCAGAACAACCTATTAGAAGCAAACCGAGAACATGTAAACTCAGTCAACTCATAGACACATGAGTGTGGTTGTTTGTTATGCAGCAGTAACTGACTAATACAACCAAAATGGGGCCATATACAGGGTCATGGTCCTGGGAAGAACTGGATGGGATTAGTACCTTTGTGCCAAGAAATTACACAGAGAGAGGATTCAATTAATTAATTCAACTAACTCACCCATCCATTATCTTTATCAAGAGCCTATCATGTGATAGACGCTCTGCAAAATATGCAAATACTACCTGGCATTGAATACCAAAATTCTACTCTTTAATTTAAAGGACCATTAATCTGCTTTCATATAAGGAGCTTGAGTCGTGGTGGTTCTGAATATCTGTGGTGCCTGCCTATATTCTCTCTGTTAAGGGACATACGAAGCCCCTGAAATTTTCCACTGGCCTTTTTTATAGGGAAGAGGGATGGACAAAAGCTCTTTCCTCTCTGTGCTTAAAAGGCCACTTGGCTTATGTATCAGTTAGGACTCTTTCTGTGAGAGGCAAAAAGCCAACTCAAAGTGGCATAAGCCTAAGAAGAAGCCTATTAGTCACCTAACTGAAAAGTCCAGAGAACTGGCACTAGGAAAAGACTGACCCAGGGGTTCAAGTCATATCATTAGGACTTTCTTTCTTTCTATCCGTTGGCTGTACAATTTTTTGTGTTGGCTTTATTTCCAGAGTTCTTGTGGCAGTCAAAAACTCCAGGTTTTCATCATCCCAGGTTCAAATCCAAAGGAAAACATTTTTTCCATAGCTCCCACCAAGTCCAGGGATTGACTCTGACTGGAACTATCGGTGTCATTTCAGTCACATGCCTGTCCCTGAACCCATCACTGTGGTTGAAGAAATGAAATGTTTTGATTGGCCAGGGATCAATTATGTATCATGATTGTGCCTCCTTCCCTTAAAAGGCCACAAGCGAAGAAGGAAAGAAAAAATCAAAGTAATGTTACCAGAAATAAGGTGAAAGAAAACTTTATGGGCAAAAAAGAAAAATAAGTGTAGGTAGTTTACTTTAAAAGTAAATATGTAGGTGTTGTGATTTTTGACAAGGATGCTACATGTAACAGAATGAAGTTGGACCCCTACCATATAAAAAGTAATTGGACCAAAGACCTAAATGTAAGAGCAAAAACTAGAAAAATTCTTAGAAGAATACATAGAAGCAAATCTTTGTGATCTTGGATTTGCCAATGAATTCTTAGATATGATACCAAAAGCACAAACACAGAAGAAAATAAGATAAATTAGACTTAAAGTTAAAAACTTTCGTGCTTCAAAGGGCACCATCAAGAAAGTCAAAAGACAACCTACAGAATGGGAGATAATATTTGCAAATCACATTTCTGATAAAGGACTTATATCTAGAATAACTCTTACAACTCAATAGTAAAAAGACAAATAACCCAGTTAAAAAATGGGCAATGGGTCTGAATAGACATTTCTTCAAAGAAGGTATACAAATGGGCAACAGCACATGAAAAGAAACTCAACATCAGTAGTCATTAGAGAAATGGAAATCAAAAGCACAATTAGATACCACTTCATACCCACTAGGATGGGTGTAATAAAGAGAAAAATCAGATGTTGGCACAGATGTGGAAAGACTGGAACCTGTATACACTGCTGGTGGGGATGTAAAATCGTGCAGCCACTGTGGAAAACGGTATGGTAGTTCCTCAAAACGTTAAATACGGAGTTGCCTTTTGACTCAGCTGTTCCACTCCTACATATACACCCAAGAGAAATGAAAACACATCCACACAGAAATTTATACACAACTGTTCATAGCACCATTATTTATAATAGCCAGGAAGTGATGATGAATGAATAAACTGATGAATGAATAAACAAAATGTGGCACATCCATACAATGGAATATTATTTTACCACAGAAAGAAATGAAGCAGTGACACATGCTACAACATGGATGAACCTTGAAAACGTCATGCTAAGCGAAAGAAGCCGGTCATAGAAGATCACATATTATGTGATTCTGTTTATATAAAATGTCATGAACAGGCAAATCTATAGAGGCAGAAAGTAGTAGTGATTAGCTAGGGCTGAAGGGCATGTGGGGATCAAGAGGTGATTAAAAGGTACGGGGTTTCTTTTTGGAGTGATGACAGTGTTCTAAAACTGTGAATGTACTAAAATGTACTAAAAACTACTGCATTGTACACTTTAAAGGGGGTGAATTGCGTTGTATCTAAATACAGCTGTTATAAAAGAAGAGTGAATATCTACCAACATCAAATAGTCAGATTTCTCAAATAAACTAATGGTTCACAGTCCCAGCCATGAAGTAGAAAATGGAGTTATGTATTCATAAAATAGTCCATTTGATATTTTCTTCCATGAAGATTTGAGTATCTCCATCTAATTTTCCTCCCCCACCCCATTTTGTTTCTTATTAAAGTAGGTTGTTCTGTATCATGGAAACTTCCTCTTGTATGAAAAAAAAATAAAAGTAATAAATCATAATGAGTTGACAAAAATGAACTGAATTGTAAACCATTTCTCCTTTTTTGCATTCATATTATGCTAGGAATTTCAGATTATGTAAGGATGATTGATATCATTCATTAATAGAACAATCCATATGAAACAATCAATATGTGTTAGGTTTGGTAATCTTTTACAGGCATGCCTAATTAGCATTTTCTACTTACATTTCTTAATAAAAATAGAATCTCCTGGCATTCTGAGGATTGCATTAATTTGTAACACATGATGGCACAGAAAGAGAAGAAATTTTAAGTCTTCATTAGTGGCCTGGAAGAGAGAATAAACAGCAGGCTCATTAAATTTTACACTGATACCCAATTAGAAAGTTTTCCCACACTAGGAAGGCCAATAAAGTTTTAAAAATAGATCCAGAGACTTTGATTTGATATGGGCAAGAATCAAACTATGGGGAATTTAACCTGTTAAATGACAAGGTAAGGTATTTGGAGGAGATAAAATAACTATGACAAAATTTACTTGAAAGGTAGTGTGGCCAAAGATAGCTAGAAATTACGGGGTAAATGTAGGCAGAAGTAAACATTCAGTGTGATAGAGCTTATAGTCCATATTGGACAGAAGATCACCACATAAGAATTTAAGTGTCAGTAGTTGAATATATTTAATCAAAACCCTATTCAGATTGTGTTTAAGACTTGAGATCTCAATCTTGTTTCTGCCATTGACTTGGACAAGTTAATTTACTTCTGTACGCTTCATTTCCCTCATGTATGAAATGTAGATAATAATTTCTTTTCTAACAGGAATAAAGAATATAACACTAGCTGGGGATCCTGAACAGTGTCTGGCACTCAGGGACCAGTACATGTTTGCACTTTTAATTATTTTTATTACTATTTCAACAGCCTCCTCATGGTTCCTCCTGACTTCTATCAACACCTCACTTTGCTATTGAGTGATCTTTCTAATAAACAAATGTGAAACTTGTATTTTGGCTTAAAACATTCTCCTGGCTGCTTGAAGCCTATGGCTCAAATTTCAAATCATTTGCCTGGCACATAAGACTCTTTAAGGGCCAGCCTCCATCGCCTTCTCTGTCTTTATCTCCAGCTATTTCTGTTTATGCACTCTACCTTTGAAGTTAACCCCAGCTTTTGCTTCTCGTGGAACCCCCAATGTTTACATGAACTATTCCTTTTTCCTGAAATGGGAGAAAAGAAACCTTCTTCTTGTCAAGAATTGCAAAGGGTCTGTAATTTTTATCCTACTAGCAACCTAACAGGTTAGCGTGGATTTCATGGATGCAATCAGAACAAAATAACCTGAGTCAGAGACAAAGATCTTTATTACTTACAGCACAGCAAGAAGCATGAGGTTCATGTTTGTGCCACTTTCCCTTGCCTGCCAAGTCCCACAAAGGCAACATGGAGCAGCCCAGGTGGATGCTGCCCACAAAGTAGGTTTGTGTCACGGCTGAAGAACTGCAATCTTGGAAACTAAAATATTTTATAATGGGCTGCAAGGAAACCTGCCTGAACTTTGCCCCAGATGGAGACATGATCTTCATTATATTGGACAGCAAGCAAACTTGCTACCTGTTCTGGAGGGAGACACTATCTCTATCTTCCAAAGCTATAAAAACAATATTGCCCAATATGACAGGTCATGAGACAAACAGCAGCCTGTCTTTATTTAAAATTTTGATATTTTTTCATCATGGATTTTTTGGCATTTATTTTGATTTTTTAAAATACTGCATTAAAATATTCACTTCGTTAACAATAATACAATAATAGCAGGGGACTTAAACGCTCCACTTACATCAATGGGTGGATCATCCAGACAGAAAGTCAACAAGGAAACAGTGGTCTTAGTGACACAATAGGCCAGTTGGATTTAGTAGATTATCTACAGGACATTTCATCCAAAAACAGCAGAATTCAGTCTTTTTAAGTGCACATGAAGTGTTCTCCAGGATGGATCACATGCTAGGTCACAAAACAAGTCTCAAGATATTTAAGAGGGGGCTTCCCTGGTGGTACAGTGGTTGAGAGTCCGCCTGCCGACGTGGGGGACGCGGGTTCGTGCCCTGGCCCGGGAGGATCCCGGGTGCCGCGGAGCGGCTGTGCCCGTGAGCCATGGCCGCTGAGCCTGCACGTCCGGAGCCTGTTGCTCTGCAACAGGAGAGGCCACGGCAGTGAGAGGCCTGCGTACCGCAAAAAAAAAAAAAAAAAAAAAAAGATATTTAAGAGGATAGAAATTATGTCAAGCATTTTTCCTGACCACACTGGTATGAAACTAGAAATCAGTTACAGGAAGAAAAATGGGAAAAGCACAAACATGTGGAGACTGAACAACACGCTGCTAAAAAACCAGTGGATCAACGAAGAAATCAAAGAGGAACTCAGAAGGTACATCTAGGACTTCCCTGGTGGCACAGTGGTTAAGAATCTGCCTGCCAATGCAGGGGACACGGGTTCAACCCCTGGTCCAGGAAGTTTCCACATGCCACGGAGCAACTGAGCCTGTGTGCCGTGACTACTAAGCCTGTGCTCCACGACTACTGAGCCTGTGCGCCACAACTACTGAAGCCCGTGTGCCTAGGGCCCATGCTCTGCAACAAGAAAAGCCACCGCAATGAGAAGCCTGCACACTGCAATGAAGAGTAGCCCACGCGCAGCAACGAAGACCCAACTCAGCCAAAAAAAATAGAAGAAGATACATCAAGGCAAGTGAAAATGGAAACACAACTTGCCAAAATCTGTGGCATACAGCAAGAGCAGTTCTGAGAGGGAAGTTTATAGCAATACAGGCCTTCCTCGAGAAACAAGTAACATCTCAAACAACCTAACCTACCATCTAAAGGAATTGGCAAAAGAATAGACAAAGCCCAAAGTCAGCAGAAGGAAGGAAATAATAAAGATCCAAGAGGAAATAAATAAAATACAGATGCCCCCCCCCAAAAAAACCCCAAAAAATGATAGAAAAAAAGATCAATGAAACTAAGAGCTGGTTTTTTGAAAACATAAACAAAATTGATAAACCTCTAGCCAGGCTCATCAAGAAGAAAAGAGAGAGGACCCAAATAAACAAAATAAGAAATGAAAGAGGAGAAATAAAACCACAGAGATACAAAAAAACATAAGAGAATACTACAAATAGTTATATGCCAAAACACCGGACAAACCTAGAAGAAATGGATAAATTTCTAGAAATATGCAACCTTTTAGGACTGAATCAGTTAGAAATAAACTATCTGAACAGTCTGATCACTAGTAGTGAAATTGAATTTGTAATTTAAAAAAAACTCCCAGCAAACAAAAATCCAGGACCAGATGGCTTCACAGGGGAATTCTACCAAACATATAAAGAAGAACTAATACTTATCCTTCTCAAACTGTTATAAAAAACTGAAGAGGAGGAAACACTCCCAAATTCATTCTATGAGGCCACGATTACCCTGTTACCAAAGCCAGACAAAGATACTATAAACAAAGATAATTACAGGCCAATATCTCTGATGCATGTAGATGTAAAAATCTTCAACAAAACTGTCTTTTGTTGGTAATTTTCCCATGAAGAAGATTTTTTTAATAGGCAGATTTAACAATTTTTTATTTTGTATCTTTCTTTCAAGCTCATTTTTTACCTTAAAAATAATACATTATTATTGTCCTCCAGCAATCATTTTAAAAAACAATTCAAAAATAAATAGGTTTATAAAGTAAAAATTAATATTACATACCCCAGTCCTGCCCCCTGTTCTCTGGAGTAACTATTGTTAAATGTCTCTTAGTTTGTAAGCTGGGAATAATCATATACCTGTACAGCAGGATACACACACACACACCTCCACATATATGCAGAAATATTTAACACGTATCATGTGTGATATATAATAGCCATTATAGCTGCTCAATTCTTATTAATTTTGTTCTCCCTGTTCTCTTAGGCAAGTTATTTTACCTTCCAGCCAAGAATTTTCTCATCTCTGGTGATGTCTAAAGTCTTTCTGAGCCCTATGATTTGACATTTTTTTCTGTATCCTACCGTATGCAAACCCAGCTCTAATAATCACCTGGCTTATAGTATTTCTTGTTGTTTGGCTTATGAAATTGACACAGCTTCTAGGATATCGCTTTTTATTACGTGAGTTGCAGCTGTTATCTCTATGAGCTTCCTGTATTTCTGCATCTATTGAACAGTGTGAGCCCGCGAAAATCAACACCACCTCTACATAGAAACATTTCTTCACTTTCCCTGGGTGGATATGTATAGGATTTAAGTCAAGTATTTGTCTAATCTGTTGATGTATTTCTTCCATATTTTGAGATAACTAATATCCATCTAGCAATATTTTTAGAATTCATGGGGGAGGTGATTCTGCTCACAGTGTGTCAAAAGCCATTGAGATTTCTGAGGATAAGGTTTATTACAGGTTTCCCCCACTATTTGAAAGTAGAGTGATTCCTATGAAACCTTTGAGAAGCTGAAATGGAATACCTTAGGACACATCTTGCTAAGGGATGCACAAAATAAATGGAAATAAAGCACGGGTGCTCACAGACACAGGTCAAAGCTATGGCAGCTGGATGCTGAGATGCCGAACTCAGTCCCCAGGAAGGAGCTTGGCGGGGCTACTCTCGCTTCTTGGGATGTGCGCTGCCTCTGTAACCAGCTTCTTGCAAAACAAATGCTGAGTGCTATTTTCAGTTTTCGCCTTTTCTTGTAAAAGCGAAGGTCCTCTTCAGATTCCTTTTAGTTAGCAAAAACAGGTGCTATTGTAGGTCTTTTGTAAAAGCAAAGTGGCCGTTAAGGGAATTTTCGAAAGACGGGGGATACCGGAAATGACAAACTTGGTCTTTTCAACCTTTGTGATCACGTGGGTCGTTACACTGATGCAGTGAGGGTGGAGGCAGCCTGGGCTGGAATGTGAGTGTAAAATGGCTCCATGAAAAATGGCTCCTTTCTTCCTTCCTCCCTCTATCTTCCCCCTTCCTTCCTCCTTTTCTTCCTTCCTGCCTCCATCCCACATAGGATTACAGAAACCTAAAACAAATACGTAAACATGAGACCAGCATCAGCGAGAAGTCTGTACTCCATAGTGCTAGGAAACAACTGATTGGGGGGAATAATTTAAATATGTATAAGTTGGCCAGTCTCAGATGTAACCATTCACTTAATTACGGGCTGAATGACACATGTTGCCAAGTGAATGTTAAAAAAATGTTTAATTCATTTATTTTATTACCTCTGTATCTCCAGAGGGACTAGGGCAATGAGAACAGAAACAGCTAATTAAATGTCTT